TCTGCACAAAGACCATCCCTGTCCATTCACAAAGGGGAAGATATTCCTCTCTCACACACATACAAATACTCATTGACTGACTGAATTTCAACCAAATCTCCAGTGTGGTTTGCATAAACAGCAGTGCAAAAGCAACAAAACTCAGAAATTATTCATTTATTAAAAACAAAAGGGAACAACTGGTTTTTTTTTTCCAAAGGCAGTAAAAGCAGCACATAAGAACAGTCCTTGTGGGATAACAACCAGTTCAAAGTTGGCCCAGATAGAACCACAAATTTGTGGGAAGATAGTGGCACGTTCCACCCACTGGACGGGGTGTGTGTGGCTGTTCCAAATTGGTTTCATGGGAGAACACCAACACAGTCTGACCCCTTTCCTCCACCTGTTTCAAGGATCAGCCCTGAAAGAGCCTGGCCCGCCAGGGCTGGAAGGGGATGGGAATCACTAACAAAAGTTTCAGATTTGGAGGGGTGTGTTTGTGTGTTCAGGTCTGGGGACATCTGATCCTCTCTGTCATAGCAGATTTCATAAAAATGACCCCATGGGCAACCCTCCAAAATGCATGCTGCTACTCTGATCCCAACGGTGAGCAACCCCTCCATTTTTCTGCTGCCTTCCCATCTGGGAAACCTTGTTCCCACCCCCCCCCCCCCCCCCCCTCCGTGAGCCATCCCGCCTCTTCCTCCTCCTCCTCTGCCTGTGAACTTGAGGGCTACAGCTTTACTAATCAGGACGTGAAAGAATTTATATCAACTCAGGGGTTTGGGCTGGTCTCCCGAGTGCCTTCCCCCCCTCCTCCCCCTTCTTGGTATGATCCAGGTGATTCCCCCCCTCCCTTCCCCATATAATCCACTTCCTTTTCCTCCCCGCCCCTTTCGCAGCCTCTCTCTCTGTGCCTTGGGGCGGGGAAGAGGGTGCTTCTCAAACCGATTCCAATTCAATTCGAATTGTGATGCCCACCTCTCCCCCCCCACCAATCCAGGCCACGCCCACAATCCCCACAAAATCAGGGCCAGCCCCATTGAATAGGATGTTTTGAATCAGAAACACACACACACACACACACTAAAAAGCGTGCATAAAGTCCCGGTGGGGGAGAGGCTTGATTTTACAGGGGAGGGGAAGGGGGGGCTCAGACGTGCAGGAATCAGGACAGGGTCAAGG